CTTTCTTCAAGAGATATATTTTATATTAATTTATCTAAGTCATTACAAAATTTTATTTTTGAACTCATTTCCGAACTTACTTGAGTAGTATAAGCATTTATGATATTAATAATCTTAGCAACAACAACGATCTTTAAAGAAATAATTATATCTACAATGCTATTAATTTTTATAATATTATCCTTCAAACTCTTATCTATAATCACACTTATGTCATTTCTAATACGACTCCTACCCGAATATCATAGTTTAAATCCTAAACTATTTATCTCCTTAGCCTTCTCTCAAACTCATTTAGTTTCCTGAATGCACCGAATATTTATCTTCATATAAATCATAATATATATTAACTTCATTAATTTTCATGTAAGGGAAACTATATTCCAAGGTCTTATCCTAATTTTAGTTTCATGGACTTGCTTTTTTACCCGCATCTATCCTTGATGTGGGAACCGTTGCCTATTTAACACTGCACCTGGACACCGGTGCAGTGGCCATTGCACACTTGTCGTTATATTCATGCCACAGCGCGTGACTTCCAGGGGATGTCTTATCATTAACACAATTTTTTAAAGGATTTATGTCATGAATATTTGACAAGTTTTGAGCTGGTTGGCGACTACCTGACGCAGCCCTCTATTTTTCTCATCCAGGACATGGGACCTGGCAACGACAGTGCTAAAACTTCAACATGTTATTTTATATGTAGCAGCTTTATAAAACAATAAGATGTCCCAAACAAAGCCTCCATTTGGGACAACATTCTTACTGCTGTGCTTTTCCGACTGCAATTATAATTTTTGTTCGGTTACTTTTTTTTGTGGCTGCTTAATAAAAAATAATTTGTATCAGAAATCAGCTTCTGATGACGCAGCTTTGCAAAACAATAAAAAAACTATCCCAAATGAAACTTTATTTGCTGATGACTTCCCGTATGGATTTGTCTGAGTTTGAGGCTTTTCTGAAGGAGAGTGAAGCAAATAACAAAAGGATAGCCAGTTGGAAGAGTGGCTGAATAAAATGAAAGTTTGAGTCGACATCAGGAGCGTCCAATGTTTCTATAATAAACCATTTCATTTTTTTCTGAGCGGTTTGTTGAACCCGAAAAGACGTAGTATATGGAAGGGATATTATATTGCTTGGAATGTTTGATGATGTTGAATTAAAACTCAGTGTGGTGAGATCTGAGTTTCTTCTTTCATAATAAGCTCTACCATTTATATAACGAGGCCCTTTGATTATGGTGATGGTGATGATGATGAAGGATAGCCTATTCAGATGGGTTTTGTAATTTTCTTGTTTTCTTGTTTTTGAATGAAATCTTATCCTTCAAGCAACATGTAAATGATTGTGAATACAATAAACTTATTAATGTTTTAGTCAATTTTTTTAGATGTGAAGATCATGATTGAGATGAGTGCGTGATCAAGCATAAATCACAATTGTAGGGAGAGACTCCCGATTGAATGGAGATCGCAACCACAACAAGATGTGTGATCTAATGAACATTGTCATCGTAACGAGATATGCGATCTAGTGAAGATTGCAATCACAATTAGATATATGATCAAGCGAAGCAGGGGTGGTACTTATGCGACTAGGAAGTGAGCCTAATCGTGAAGCCCTAGTTCAAATCATCAGGTGTGTGGATATCACAAAGATCCATCAAGAATACTAGAAGCCAACCAAGCTATGTGTAATGGTCAAACCTAAGCCCAACAAAAATGAAGTCAAACAGAGAGTTCAAAGTTCCGCATTCAAGTTTGAATTCAAAATGATGCGAATATTTTTTTTTTTTCACATTAGCATGGCTATTAATGAGTTGAAGTAGCTCGCCTAATTTTTTGATTGTTGCAAGCCAAGCAAATATTTGAATTGACTTTCTTGAAGAGTAAGTGAATGCCTCCTAAGCTATGGCATACTCCATCTTGAACATCTTGCATGCCTTGTTGGAAGAAAGTGATGAGTTAATTGTTGGAGGAGCTTACCAAATTTTTGCCTTATGTCATGGAGAGTTTGATAATTTTAAAACTTCTTTTGGACCCTTACAAATTGGATGATTAATTATTGTCCAAAATCTGAGAAGTTGGTGTTGCTTCCTATTTGCATTTGTGAGAACCACCTAAGAGAAGATGACTTCACCATGTCACTAATGTTGAGGAGAGAGATGAATTATTCAAAGCCAAAGATGTGGTCTTCCGAAGTTTCCATAGATGAAAATTTAAACTTTAAAGGAAGTTGAGTTTCCATAATTTCTTCTTAGAAGTATTAGTCGGGGACGTCTCATATTTTGTTAATTTGTGATGGAGTAAAATATCATCATCGGTGGGTATTTGTAAGAGCTCGGCCCAATGTGACCCTTACATATAGAATACACATTGGACTAGATTATGATAGGATAACTTTCAATTTTGATTCCAAAAGTTTAAAGTTACATAATTTCCTTTCATATGTTGGATTGTTTATGTTTGTGTATGAGTTGTGACCCCTATTTTTAGGTGAGGATCAAACACATTGGTATAAAATTGACTCATTAAAAAGTAAGAAAAAAGTACATATATTATATATTGTGGTTTATGTGGCTATTTGTACTGTGAATTAGTTTGAATGACAACCGAGAATCTCAAAAAAATTCAAGTTTAGGGAAAATACTAAGACGAATAATATAGTCCTTCATATGATCAACTTAAGAGAGTAGGCATGCTCATTGGCAAGTTCAATCATCTAATACTGAGGACTGAATTCGGGTTACCCATTTGGTTTAGTTGTTGAGATTCAATCTTCGTTTGAGACAGCTTTCTTATTGTTTCTTAAGTAACCTTCTAATATATATATTTTTATTTTTATATTAAAAAGTTGCTTTAAAAAGCAATAAGAAAGTCGTCCCAAACGAAATCTCAATCTTAGGTGAATTTCCACAGTACAAGTAAGACTCCTATTTACAATTTGTTATTGATTTTAAGGCTTCATTTGGGGCAGCTTTTTTACTGCTTCTTAAAGCAGTTTTGTACTAAAAAACTACTTTAAGAAGCAGTGAGAAAGCCATCCCAAATGAAGCCTAAGTTTGACAAATGCTGAGCCAACCTTTGGCTTGCCACTTATTAAATCCGGTTTATATTTTCATGATAATTTGATCATTCTAATCCAGATGAATAAAACCTTATAACTACATTTCTATCACAAGAAAAAAAAAAAATCCATATTTCATTAAGATTGGACAACACAAGAGACAATAGCCATACAATATTGACCAAGCATAATTATATTTATAATTTATATATAAAATGCCCAATATTTATTCAACACATTTTAATAGATAAAAAAATGGGATAATTTTATATTAGGAATTGAATAAGATTTACTTATAAGTGCCATCCTTTTTTAAATTTTTTATTTTCTAAAATAAGAACTCGTCCCATTTAAAGACAAATTTGATGATTATTTTTGTTTTCTGCCGTTTTAATTTTTATAAACTATGCCGTATGGGGACAAATTTGATTAAGGTCAATATTGCATTTTTTCTCTCTTGGCAAATCTAAAAAGGAAAGAGATTACCAAATGAATAAGATAGAGAAAAAGTGTGTATGTGAACGGAGATTTTTTATACGACTCATCTTGGTCCGTTGGTTGAGAGCTTAGGCTATCAATTAAGAGGTCTTAGATTCAAGTCTTTGTGTATGTGATATGTGTGTGACTTTGACTTAATTGGCCAAATGTCCAAAAAAAAAAAAGATTTTTCTTAGATTTTAGTAGGGCACTGAGATATCAAAACGAGTTAACGAATTGAGTTCGGATTAGATCAAAAATTGACTCAATCTAAATCTAGTCAATTTGAACATAACACGTTTAAAAAATGGTCAAAAAAATCAAGCATGATCAGCAACCTGGATGACCTGAACTTGACCACTTAACTTGTTTTGGTAAATACAGAAAAAGACTTGAATTTTTTTATAACTTATTAACTATAAAGTTTATGATATTGGATAAAAAAATTTACCATAAGTTAAAAAAAGAAGTTCTTCGTGCAATATTGGAATAATTTTTTTAATTATAATAAAAACATAAAAAATCAATGTCCAAAAAAAAAAAAAGATACATAATCTCACAAGAAGAATCAAATATCATCATGTAATTCAAAAATTGATGGGAAATCAGGTTGACGGTTCAACCTGAATCCAACTCATTTAATAAATAGGTCGAAATGCACGACCCAAGCCTAACCTATTTTTTAAACGAGTCAACTCGAACCTTATTTTTTATACTCAGGTCATTTATTGACACTCTTAATGCCAGGAGAACAAAATAGTTATTTTGAAACAAAATTTTATAAATTAGACATAATAAATTGACTTAGCTTTAAGTTCCACACAACAAATTTTTAAACTTAAATATTAAATTAATTTATATATCTGCATGGAAAAATGAAGTTAGCAATGACATAAACACTTCTCTTCTAAAAGGTCTAATAGAACTGAATTAGGTTTGTCTTGGACAAGTATGATCTCACATTAAGGCTTCGTTTGGGGCGACTTTATTACTACTTCTTAAAATAGTATAAATATTTAAAATTTTATATCAAAAAATTGCTTTAAAAAAATTAGGAGATGGCCGTAATAAATGAAGCCTAAATTTATATGAAAGGATGATTGATGAACCATGCAATAAAAGATAGACCAAAATTATACAACATTAACATCAAGGCTTTATCTCACTACACAGGATTGGCTGTATTAATAATTTTTCTTCAATGTCCTATTAAGAGTCAAAATTTCATTTAATTTTAATAAAAATATCATTTCTAACATAAAATTGGAAGTTTCTTTTGCTTTTATTTTATTTTATTTGCCGAGAAATATCATAATATTTAAGAAGTTATAAAGTCAACAATGGTAATTTAAATTTAAATAATTTAATCAATTAGAATTAAAAATAATTTATTATATAAAGTTTTTCATAAGCCCGCAATGCTTAGGAATAATCCATTTAAGCAGAGATAACAGATGAGAAAACTACGAGGGGAACCACTACCTGAACGGCTGAACCTTCTTCCCTTTCTTCCAATGGCAGCCGCGACCTCTATCTTCCTCGAGGATCTCCCCGACGACATCCTCCTGCACATCCTCAGCCATCTCGATGGCCCCTCTCTCGCCGCCGCCGGCTGCTCATCTTCCCATCTCCACCGTCTCTCCTCCCTGCCTTCCCTCTGGCTCAACCTATGCGTTTCAAACTATCCCTCCCTCCTCCTCCTCCCTTCCCTACCCTTCTCACCCCGCTCCTTCTTCTCCCTCGCCTTCCCCCTCTCTTCTTCTTCTTCTTCCCCTACTGCCCAATCCTCTCCCGATTTCGTCTCCTCCTTCGTCGATCTCCGCTACCGCGGTGTCCCCATCCTCTCCCGCATCATCTCAACCGACACCCGATCGCCCCTGTTCTTTTCATCCCTCTTCCGATTAGACGCGATAGACGGCCATCTCCGGCCAGATCCCGCGTTCTCGCCGGCTGATCTGGAGATGAGCTGGGTAATGGTGGACCGGACCGGAGATCGCGTGGTCGATCTGTCCAGCTGGAAGCCGGTTTCCATGGAATCGAACTGGTTCAGCGGGGATGTGCGGGTCCGGTTTGCGACGGCGGTGGGTGAGGGGCGAGCAGTGGTGGTTCCGACAGTGATGTGCAGTGTTGTTGGGGTGAGGGAGGTGTTGTTGATGGTGGAGGACGGAGATGGGGTTCCAATGAATGGAACAGATAGTATGGTGGTGATCGGGGAAATGATGGATGGAGGTAGGAAGGGGGCGAGAAGAAGAGATGGCAGAGAGGGGCTGAGGAAGCGAAAGATGGGGAGTCTGTGAGGAGGAGGAAGAAGAAGATTAGCGAGCTTCAGCTACTCACGAATGAGCAGCTGGGGCTGGTCTCGGACTCTGCGCACTTTAATACAAAATTTACTTCGATTTATTTATTGATTTTAGAAAGAATTAAGAGTCTCTTGATTGAAATTATTATCTATCTCATATTTTTTTCTATGCATCTGTTGTATATCGGGTGATATGATTCATTCTAATTCGATTCTGAACAGTTTAGTATCTGCACAAAATAATTTCTCCTATTTGGGGGAGATATTGTTACGTAATTTTGAATGTAAATATTTGTTCGAACTTTAATTACATTTAGTCATGTAGATTTTTTTTTAATTTTTCACTCTTACACACATATTGTGTACAAAAAGGAGGAAAAAAAGCCACGTGGCTCTGCTTGATTCGAGTCCAGATGAACTGTGTGTAATAAATTTTCTTGTTTGATATAATTTCTCTAATGATTTGTTTTTTCAAACAACAATCATAATTATGTTTGCCTAATATATTCTTATTATTTTCTCATTATTTTTTAAAAATTCACTTATTAAAAAGATGCTTTCTTTGGAACAACTTTACAACTTTATAAAATATTGTAGCCGTCCCAAATATGCCTTAAGTATCATTCTATTTGAATTCACTTGAATAGAAAAAAATCAACAACAATCAGTAGGTTTTATGTTATGAAAGCAATGCATTAATTCTCTATAATAATTAGCATCGTCTGTTATGTGAATCATTTTTTATCTATTATGTTCTATTAATAGTCAAATTCTCATTTAATTATTTAAATATGGGGTCAATTATATGAATCATTTTTTCTATTATGTTCTATTAATAGCTAAATTCTCACTTAATTCTAATAAAAAATATCATTTTTAGTACTTTCTAATAAGTCTTTTTACATCTATCTCTATAAGTTATCATATTTATATAAAATATATCATTCATATGTACATTCAAGGAGATAAAAAAAAAAAAGATTAATAAATTTTAATTTTAAAATTTTATTACATAAATAAAATAAATTTTCTTTTATT